CCTGAAGGCAGTGTTCCTGGCTTCCAGCAGGGTACGCACCTCTGCATTCAGCCAAGGTTTTCTGTTTGGGTAGCTTTTAACATATCTGATAGTGGAGACTGTGTCAGTACATGTACTAATGTAACCCAGTACTGAGGATGTGTATTGGTCAAGATCAAGCGAACCTCCATTTTCAGCAGCTTCTCTATTTAGAGAGTATGATGACACTTCATGGTTAAAGTTAATGTAATCCGCTTTATAATGTAATCCAGCTTTTATTGCTACCATTTGTATTGGTCATTGTTATTTTTGCAGCCTTAATTGATATTTCACATTGCCTTTGTGACTCAAGCTTATTTTTCATGTAACATAATAAACAAACTTGTTTCCAGGATGTTTAGACAGAGCCAAAAAGATTGACCATTAATTTTAATAAGCAGATCTAAGGGCAAAACAAGACTGCTCATAACTGGCCCACCGGTGGACAGAAGTGATGACAAGCAAAGAGAAAAGTGTTTATATCTTCAATAGTAGGAGAGAATGACCTGTCAGAGCAGCAGTGGTGGGAATGTGCTACTTTCACCACATGATCCCAATAGACCACCTGCACGGACTTATACGCTCAATCAGCAGCTCAAAATTATGAGCAAACTGAAAAAACTAATAATCCATATATACCATTGTAAAGAAAAAAAGCACCGACAGCCATGCTGAAGGGAAATAAAGAGAACAACACCAACTTTTCTAGGAAAAACAAGAAGACATTATGTGTGATCAGTGGATGCTCCCTTCCTTGTTTGTTGTGTGATGTGTGACTGAGAGATGCATGTCCAGGGGAACCATTAGCAGCTTTCTTGTGTGAATGTCAACTGCTGCTCTGCTGTACAGACCAACGCACACTCTGTGATTAATGCGAGTCTGCGTTATGTCCAGCACAGGCTCTGTGATTTCTACTCTGGCTGCGAAACGGAGGCCAATCAATCAGCTGTGAAAACCTGACCAGTGGGTAAACATGGGAGAGCATCATCTGTTTCCTCGGAGATCAATCACAAAGACTTGACATTTTCAGGGTTAAGGCCGCTCATGCAGTCTTACATCTTAGCCAAAAGCTGTCACAAACATTTAGTTAATGCACATGTATAAGGAATACTGATTTTATTTGGGTAAAGGGCAAATTAAATGTGTGCTCTCTATCTAGAAACGTAGCATTAAAGCTTGATGCATTTAGACTCACAAAGGCTTTTGTGTTCCAAGCTTTTATAAAACAGAAAGCAGGAAATGCTTCTTCAGATAGGGTGAAAAATACTTAGCTGGCTGCTTCTTATTGGATCAGGTTGTAGGGCAAACTACAAAAAAAATAAAAATAAAAATAAAAAAACGTCCACCAACTACTCGATTTTATTTTCAGCTCAACTTTATCACAATTAAATAAACTAAATATTTGCTCTAATGATATTCAGCTGATGCTTGACAGATATGAGAAGATGGTCAAGGAAAACACATCATGGCAACCTTTATGAAAATGTTTAAAAAAAGCACAAACACATATTTTTACCTGAGATTTGCATTTGAAGCCCTAAGTTTGCATGGACATCCAGCTACATCAAAGAGAAGTCTAACATGGCCTAATTGTGTCAAATCTATTTTAACCCAGCCTCTTTTTACGAAGCCTTCACTGGTTCATGGGTTTATGGTGATTGCACCCATCCGGCACCTCCACTGATGAAAGCTGGCACTGCACAACCACTTTTACACGAAGGCTCTCAGCAGGAATCGTCCTGCAATCACGCTTTTAAGAGAGTTCTCGGCCTTGTACTCTCACGTATGCTCATGTGCACTTTTAAATCTGCCATTAGTATTTGACTATGTCGGACATGTACGCTTAGTGGTAGGAATCATGCAGAAATAAAATTATTCGAAATGTGTCAAGTAAATATCCAAAAGGAGAGGTCACACTGGAGATCAGCAGCAGTCTAAGTGGATCTACAGAAATGCAGAAATAAAGAATTTTTCAGCAGAGACAAAATGCCATGGAAATGTCAAAGCTGTACCCTGGCTCCCAGGGGTCTCCTCTAAAAAAAGAGTCCAATTTCGATTGTAATCTTTGTGAGCTATGACAACCTGTATATTGCAAAAGAAATCCTGGGCAACCTGTCCAGGGTTTATCCCTAGACAGGTTGCCGATTCATCACAGTATCTCCTGTGCTTGTATTGTAAAAAAACAAAAGAACTTATCTTTCAGAATGGAAACAGATTGCTCTCAATGCACAGAAAATATCCTTGTTATAGAGATAAATTATTAACAAATGTCTATTTGTTTTATTTCACTTAGGCTGCGATACAAAGTTATTTAGGACATATTCACGTTGACATATTACGCAGGTTTTCCATATAAAATTATCAGTTTTACATGTAAACACATTTCAAAGAATCAGAACAATCAAATCTTCATGCTCCAAATAAATACAGGTCAGACATGCTGCATAATAGCTCTGTCTTATGAGTGCAGGCTAAGCATCAAATTATACAGATTACACTGATGAAGGTAGTGAAAGAGCATCTGATGTGTTAAATTCTTCAAAACTGTCAGAAGTAATTTGGCCTCTCTCATCAATCTGTCCCATTTTCTCCAACAGTCCAGTTCCAGGTCAGCGGCTACAAGTTCCACCTACTCCTGGTCATTTTCAAATCCAATAAGGATTTCTTGAGCAGATTGTCATTCTCTCGTTCTCATCTCAAATTTCTGCAGCTCATAAAAAGACTCATAAAACAAAATGAACATTTGTCATATTTTTTGGTAGTAATTTGTTCTAGCCTGCTAGAGTAAGTTGACAATAAAAAAAAAAATGGCTTTTTATTTTAGCATTAAGTTTTATGCATAAAAACAAACAAGAGATTAATCACGTTTACTTTTTAGCAAATTAATATGTAATAAGTGAATTACCTAGCCTTGTTAATTACTTAAAATGCAGGTGTAATATTTGCTTTTTGGTACATTTTAGCACGATTGGCTTGTGTAAAAACTATTCTGTGAAGAATATTTACACATTTTGACTTCATTGACTTGTTTGACATAATCATTTGCTGTCTAAACGTGACAATTCACTGGTATTCACTGTGAATAATTAAAATTTTCCATTTTTACTTTATTTTAAAGTCATGTTTATATGAAGTATTGCATTCTTCTAAGTGGTTAGAATCTGACGTTAGATGCAAAATCACACTTTCTTCATCCCTGTGGCAATACGTTGAATAAAACAAATTCTCATTTTTACTTAACTGACCTTAAATAAACTGAAATAAATGAAAAGTAAATAAATTAAGTCAGATATGATAACAATGCTGAAGGTGCACTTAAAAATACTTGGTTTGTATTAAGCTGTGGTCTTTTACCAGGATGTGAAGTAACATTTAATCACATTACTGATGAAGATAAATATATTTCTTATTCGCAGCTGTTCTTTAGGGTCTTGCTTTAGTAACAAAACAGTCATCCCTGTCTTAGTTATCTTAATTACAGGTGGCAGTTATGGTGAATATGAAATATGCTCTGTTAAAATATAGTTTTAAAAAGCAGCATTTCTATGAGATCTGTACTTTACCACTGCAAAGCACAAACCAAACTTATGACACTCCATTCTGTGTAGATCTGGTGTTCTGAGCTGATAATAATGACATGCATTTATGGACAAATAGGCATTAACTCTAGAATAAAGATGCTGAAATTGCTTAATGCTGCTTTTATGTTAATGGGTTTGAAAGTCAGCACTAATGCACTAAAAAAAACAATTTAAACAATGTATCCTAGAGATGATGCTAAATGCTCAGGTATTCAGTATATTGTACCTGCAGTGAAACACAATAAAGCAAAAAACAATTAGTGGAACATAATAAGATGTGTGCTCCTGAATCTCAAAACTGAGATGGATAGAGATGACACATTAACCTGATCCATGCTTTTAGAGGAACTTTACAGCAGGGTAGCCTTATGATGTGTTACAAAATGTTATAATCATGTGTGTGACTGCACCAGGAGATTTATGAAGGGGTAAGACTTAACAAGAACAAAAAAGAAAGGAAAGCATGAAACATTTAAACATGCTTGGAGAAACATACTTTAGAAACAAGTTTGTTTCTCAAACTATGGGGTCATTAAAACACTGCATTCTTCAAGATTTTAATTCTACAGCTGTACAGAAAGTTTAACAATTATCCTATATGTAGTATCTAGCCAGGACAGCATGGTGGTACAGTTGGTAGAGCTGCCGCCTCTCAGTGAGCAGGTCACCCCAGTTCAAATCCCGGCCGGGGGCCTTTCTGGGTGGAGTTTGCATGTTCTCTCTGTGCATGCGTGGATTTTCTCCGGGTACTCCAGTTTCCTTCCACAGACCAAAAACATACATGTTAGACTGACTGGCAACTCTAAATTGTCCCTAGGTGTGAGTGAGAGAGTGAATGGTTGTTTTTCTCTATGTGTCCCTCTGATTGACTGGAGACATGTCCAGGGTGTCCCCCGCCTCTCACACAGTGATAGCTGGACATGGGCACCAGTGACGCCCGTGACCCGAAAAGAAAAAAGTGGGTAAAAGATAATGGATGGATGGATGGATGGATGGATGGATGGATGGATGGATGGATG